GAGAAGCCCCCACTCACCACAACTAGAGAAAGCCCACGCGTAGCAATGAAGACCCAATGCAGCCAAAAATTAATTAATTAATTAATTAGTTATTTTTTAAAAACTGGTTCTTTGCAAAGATCAATAAAATTGATAAACCCTTAGCCAGACTAATGAGGAAAAAAGAAAAGCTAAATTACCAGTATCAGGAATATCTGAGGGGATATCACTTCAAATCCATCCCACAGAACTTAAAAGTATAATGAGATTATGAACAACTTTATGACAACAAACTAGACAAAATGGACAGGAAGAGATACGCCAGCAAGAGGAGGACATACCAGCCTTTGTAACCCCACAAAAAACGATAATTAAATAGCTATCAACAAATGAAAATTGCCCTGGGAAGATGCAATAGTCAAAGAACCTACAGCAACACAGTGCAGCAAAAAATGGAGAATAACTGCAGAGAGAGTACACAGAGAGGATCACTGAGGAGATGGACTTTAGCTGAGACATCTGGAAACAGCTAAGAACAACGAAGGGTGGAGGCCATCAGTATAAGCCACACACTGAATACCACTGCAGTCACCAGTGGCCTGCTCTGCAGAGAAGCCTGGCAGCCCTGGTCACTGAGGACCTCAGCAGCACCCAAGACAGCTGCTGAGGAATCCCTACAGCTTGTACAGTAGAGGACTCTGTCGCGTTTGTTGGAGTGGACCTCAGCAGGCTCTTGTGCAGAAGAAACCGGCAGCTCCTGCCGCCGAGGTAATCAAGAGCCACTGCTGCTGCTGGCCTCCTAGAGAAGGAGACGCTGCTGTACTCCTTCCAGAAGATGTGCACACCCCAGACCCCAGAGCCCTGGCTGCTCGACATGCATTCACATCACAGGCACCAGATCATATGCTTCAGTCACTCTGTGAGCACACACACTCCACTCCCGGCTCAGGGGCTGACCCAAGCATGCCCACACCTCAGGCACCACTGCCACCGTGAGGGCACGCCAAGCCAGACCCAGAGCCAAGAGACATCCCCTTGCCGATGACATATGCTGTGGGAGAAAGAGAGATCTGGAGGTCCCCAGCAGCCTTTGCCACTGAAGACCCCAACAGCCCTCTTTTGCAGCAGACACCTGCACCCTTGGCCGTTGCAATCTTTACTGACACTGACCTCAGCTGATAAAGCTGACTGTGCACTATGCCAATGGGCCTTCCTAGGAGCTAGAACCAATGCACCCCACTTGCCTGGTACCCTTGCACTCACCTGCAGGTGAAGGTCTTTCCCCACTAAAACCAGTCTGTAATGTCTGTAATGTCTGCTCAGTCAAATGCACAGAGATTAACACGAGGTTATGAGAAACATGAAAAATTAAAGAAACATGACACCCGCAAAGGAACACAGTAATTTTCCAGGAACTGATCCCACAGAAATAGAGATCTAGGATTTCCCAGACAAAGAATTCAGAAAAATTGTTTTAAAGAAGTTGAGTGAGCTACAAGAAAATGCAGATAGAAAACTCAATGAAATTAGGAAAACAATATACAAACAAAACAAGAAGTTCAACAGAGAGAAATCATTTTAGAAAACCCAAACAAATTCTAAAGCTGAAGAATACAATGAATTAAATGAAAAATACAATGCAGATCATCAACAACAGACTTGATCAAGCAGAAAAATCTGTGAACTCAAAGACAGGTCATTAGAAATTATCCAGTCAGAGGAGGAAAGGATAAATAAAGAATGAAAAGAGAGTGATTCCAATTAGCAGAAAAAGAAGATCACAGCAGAAATAAATGAAGTAGAAACAAGGAAAACAACAGAAAACATCTACAGAGTAAGAGCCGGTTTTTTGAAAAGATAAACAAAATTGACAAACCACTGGCTATACTAAGAAAAAAGAGAGACGACTGAAATAAATAAAATCAGAAGTGAAAGAAGAGACATTACAAATGATATCACAGAAATATAAGAGGATCCTGAGACTGCTATGAACAATTACATGCCAACAAATTGGATAATCTAGAAAAAATGGATAAATTCCTAGAAATATATAACCTATCCAGACTGAATCATGAAGAAATAGAAAATGTGAACAGAAGACTGAATCAGTAATCAAAAACCTTCCAACAAAGAAAAGCCCAGGACAAGATGACTTCACCAAACTTTTAAAGACGAATTAATGCCAACGTTTCTCTACATCCTCACCAATGTCTGTTATCTCTCATTTAAAAAAAAATAATAGCCATCCTAACAGGCATGAGGCAATATCTCATGGTGGTTTTCCCTGATGATTAGTGATGTTGAACACCTTTCTTGTTTGTTTTGACCACACCACACAGCATACAGGACCTTAGTTCCCTGAGCAGGGATCAAACCCACACCCCCTGCAGTGGAAGCAAGGAGTCTTAACACTGGACCACCAGGGAAGTCCCTTGAACACCTTTTCATGTACCTGCTTTTCACCAATGAGGATGATGTTAGCTGTAGGCTTGTCAAATATGGCCTTCAGGTTTATACATTACTTTACAAGTATAGGGTGGTGGAAGGGAGAGATAATAAGTTAAAAACACCAAAACGGGGTTAGCAAATGCAAACTATTATATATAGAATGGATAAACAAGGTCCTACTGTATAGCACAGGGAACCATATTCAATATTCTGTGATAAACCATAATGGAAAATAATATTTTAAAAAATGTATGTATATATATATATGTATGTATGACTGAATCACTTTGCTGTACAGCGGAAATTAACACTGTAAATCAACTATATTTCAATAAAAATAAATAAATAAACAAACAAAACAAAGCCTAAAGATCTAAAAAAACAAACACCCAAAACTACACAAAACACAAACCCTCTGAAGAGTTAGCCTCCTGATGGTCTATCTAAGCTTTTTGACACTGGCAGCCAATACCAAGCTCCAAAATACAACAAACCTAATGTGGACTGGCTCATCAACAAGCATTCTAACCACCTTCAGAAAAACTTTATCATGCCACAAATTTACAAGAATTTTGTTAGATCATGAAGGTAACAAAAAAACATTTAACAGCATTATTGCTGTTATACTCGTTTTCACACCGTTATTTTACCTTCTATGAATGCCAGCCTCTATGTCCAAGTATATTGCACCAAGCTACTGTTCAGAGTTATTTCCTAGTCCTGTATTAAGTGCCCAGGAAGGCTGTCTAAAAGTTTCACAGCTCTGTATACCCGTCAATCTGCTGTTCTCTCCCTTTACCATCAGAGGTCCAGATGAAATGCCAGTTAACTCCGTGAAGACACTCCTGAGTTGAGTGGCACAACTAATAGTTCCCTTCCCACCACTTCCATAATACTCGTTCTTACTACTGACAGAAATAATTACATTATATTTTATTTGAGGGCTTATCTTTCAATCTCTTGACCTTGACTATGAATCATTCCCTAAAGTAAGGACCACATTACATTTCTGATGCATGTCTAGTGTACACTTAAGGGCCTGGTATGTTGCAGGTGCTTAATAAACATTTGCTGAATTGAACTGAGTTCAGAATGATGAGCATGTCACACTCAGTGCAGGGAAAACTAGTTTCACTTTAGTATTTCTCATCTTCTACTCTTTTATCAGGCCTGCAGCCTTTGTTCTTTAGGGGGTTTTGTTTTTGCGGTTTCTATTTAGTGGTATAGCTATATTATATTAGTAGCATTGCACTGCTTGTTATTCTGACCACCTGAAGCTAAATGCCACCAATGCATTTTAAATTCCCAGCTGCACACCCTGTAAATTGAAACCATGACATATAACAACCTGGGTGTCAGTAAAGTTTTGCCAAGACAAATGCCAGTGACACTAACAGCTTTAGTTATCATGTTTAGGATTTAGTATATCAACTCATATAGATAAGTAAAATTTTCCTTCAGAAATAATTTTTAAAAGATGCAACAACATAAAAGGCAGGATCCTAGCTCACATTAAATATTTCATAGGCTATAATGAGTCTATTTTCATAATTTTTAAAAAAGAATGGCTGCTGGGGCTTCCCTGGTGGTCCAGTGGTTAAGAATCGGCCTTGCAATGCAGGGGATGCTGGTTTGATCCCAGGTCGGGGAGCTAAGATCCTGCATGCCATGGGACAACTAAGCTGTGTGCTCTAGAGCCCACTTGCCACAACTAGAGAGCCCATGTGCCAGAACCACTGAGCCCGCACGCTCTAGAGCCCATGCGCTGCAACTACTAAGCCCGTGCGCCACTAGAGAGAAGCCTGTGCACCGCAACAGAGAGCCTGCGTGCCGCAACTAAGATCCCACATGCCGCAACTAAGATCCTATGCACCACAATTAAGACCCGAGGCAGCCAAATAAATAAATGAATAAATAAATATTTTTTTTAAAAAAAGAATGGCTGCTATAGAGAGCTATTTATGAACTTCTCAAATAGAAATTTCCCCATTTCAAAGAGACTGTAAGGTTAACTGAAGACAGCAATTCCATAAATACAAAGACAAAGGAAGTACATAATAGTAGACAAGATTACCTAGTATTTAAAATGCAAGTAAGATCCTGCATATCATCAAGAAGAGTAAAGATCGAAAACCCATAAAGCAAATTCTTCTGCTCTGCTTGATATAGGTCGTTTCTATAACAGAGGTCTGTATCCAATTCCAGCTCAATGATTAGTAAGATAACTAGAAAAATACTGAAGGTCTAAAAGAGAGCAACAAGCTTAAAAAGCAGAGATCAGGAATATTTAGTGCAAATGGTTAGAAAAGCTGTGCATATTTTTAACCTGGAACTCAGAGAGCGGTGAAGAGGATTAATTCATATTGCCAAGGTTTATAGCAAGAACTCAGGGCCTCCTGACCCTGAGTCTTACAATTACTGCTCAAGACAAATGTCAATTTCTCCCTCCAGAACACTGGCCTGCATTCTACGTCAGAGGCTTGCTAGATGAATAGTTTAAGATTTACCAAATTTTTAAAACAGATAAAATATTCCCACCCCAACTTTTATTTAATTCACAGTTTTCTACTTACAAAGTCTTGACGTATGTCGTTGAAGTCTTTGCCATATTTTTCCAGTGCCTCTTCAAATAAACTAGCTTCAGAGGCCGACCATTCTTCCATTTCATCTCTGCATAAAACAGGTCCCCCAAGTGGTACTAAGACACTAATTGCACTGCTCAAATCATAGCTGTGCCTATACAACGTATCCATAGCATGAAACTAAAAAAAAAAAAACAAAGAAAATGGAGAGAAAAGATCAGCCAGAAATGCAAACTTGCTAGATTATTTAAGAACAGAAATATTAAAGTGCATGATGCACTTAATTAGCAACAATATACTTAGTATTTACTTTTTTAGTAACACAATTAAGAAAAAAATTTAAACAATGGATTTATGCAGTTATTTAAAACACCCCGTATTGCTTTTAAGAACATGTTGATTTGTACCTTTTAAGGTTTTTCTTTACTTTTTTTTTTAAAGATGTTGGGGGTAGGAGTTTATTAATTAATTTATTTATTTTTGCTGTGTTGGGTCTTCGTTTCTGTGCGAGGGCTTTCTCTAGTTGTGGCAAGCGGGGGGCCACTCTTCATCGCGGTGCGCGGGCCTCTCACTATCACGGCCTCTCTTGTCGCGGAGCACAGGCTCCAGACGCGCAGGCTCAGTGGTTGTGGTTCACGGGCCTAGTTGCTCCGCGGCATGTGGGATCCTCCCAGACCAGGGCTCGAACCCGTGTCTCCTGCATTAGCAGGCAGATTCTCAACCACTGCGCCACCAGGGAAGCCCTGTATTTTTTTTAAATGCATTTGTTTGTTACAGCAACCGAACTATGAAGATCTAGGACCTCCAGGAATTAAAATGCGATGAGCCCAGTAAGTTCCAATCATCCTTTTGGTTAAAAGTGCCAGAGTCACTTCAGCTATTGTATAAGGTTGGCACAGCCTTCCTGGACAAGGGAAAAATATGTAGACAGAGGATGTATCAGAGTGAGAAAAAATATTCTCAGGTTGGAGTAAGAGAATGATATACTAAGAACAAGAGATGGAGAAAAAACAATGAAACTGAGAATGATGGTGAAGACAAAATTATACAACCATGTTAAACAAAAACAAACAAACAAAATTATATATCCATATAAAAACAGTAACTTGGTTGAAACTCTGTAAGGCCAACAATAGATGACCAGGCTTGCTTGGAACAGCTACCTAGGCCACTGTGGATTTCATATATATTTCAAGGGTGAGTTATTTGAAAGGAGGAAAGATAGATTAGGATAATATAAGTGGCTTTTTTCAAAAGTACCTTGGGTCTAGCTTATTTTAAAAAGATCTATTCATAACATGCATGCGTATTTGTATGTGTAGCAGGAAAACTGCTGAACAGGACAGTCAGGTGTGTCTGGATAAGCATATAGGTGCGGTACAGTCTTGGTTGGTGATCAAATCCTTGCCAAGTGAGAACTAGCTCTGTTTAAACTTTCTAACATGTGAAAGCCAAGTTTTACACCTTTTACACAAAGTATCTTCTGATAATTATTAAAAATTTCATAAATGAGGATAGAGTCACATCTCTGTTTCTTAAAAATTTAGCTTATAAGTGATCCCAAAATATCTGTTAGGATACAGTGGACAGTCCCCCACTGGTACAAAAGCATAAAATAAGCTCCAATATCAACTAACATCTATTAAAGAGAAAAAAAATTATTAGCTAAAATACACATTAAAATTATGTATTTATACTGTGATACATAAAGATGCTGAATATGAATTTGTTGACAGAGCTAAAGGCAGGATTTAGGACATGATTAGGAACAGTAACTAACTGCTTTAACAAGGGTTGACATCTCCCCTAAAATAAATCATTGGGTTCCACCAAACAAAAGCAAGTAAGGACTTCATTATCAATTTCCTAGTTATAATCACAGCTAAGACCATACTGACCATGTGCAGTCTTTTGCTATATGTGTCACAGTCATGGAATAATAACTTCAACTTTCAAGTGAATTTCTTCTCACCCTTCTGCAGCAGGGGTTACAAAAATGTTAGAATTGATCTTGATTCTTCCCTTATGCTCTGCAAACTTCAGAATCAACTAAATTCCACTTCTCTAGCTAACCTTTCACTTGACAGATTCAGCAGTTTTAACTGTATGTTACAGTTATACACTCTTAACACCATCCCTGAAACTAAAGAACTATTGTTTCTAGATAACTGATCTATAAAAATGAAAAAAGATCAACAGCATTGAGGGGTCCCTTCAAATAATAATGTATTTCCATAAACAACTATTTTTAAAACTCCTAAATTTACAGTGGATAACTAAAAAAAAAAAAATAGTATTCAAAATCAATAATTATACAAATTAACTGCTGCTGAGATTCCTCCCTCAGGAGATACAAGTAATTTTTATATTGAACAGGTGCTCTGAAACCAAAAGTCACAGAATTAAATGAGCTTTTCTCAGCTGTTATTATACCAACCACTCAAAGTGTGAATGGATTTTCAGTCTTTTGTTCATGTTAGATGAATGCAAATGCCTTCCTTATAGGCACTTTTTAAAATGACAATGGGCTATTATCTAATAAGGCTTTGGTACTTATTATCTAATAAGTACCAAAGTAATATCCTAGCCTCTATAAGTGACTGTAACCAAAATCCCAAGTGATCAGGTTGTTTTTAAAGGTTCTGTTCTTTACAGAGTGTGTTTGTGTTACTGAACACTGAAGTAAGCATTTGCTTTTGAAAACTAGCTCCTGCATTGTGTCACAGATCAAACGGAAAGAGT